CCACATGCCGCATACACCCATCCATCCACACGCCACACCCATCCACACACCACACCCACACAGCTACATGCCACACCCCCCCCAGCCACACCACACCCACCCAGACACATGCCACCCATACACCGACACAGCCACACACCACAGCCACACCCTGCCTCATGCCATGCCCACCCAGCCACACACATACACCACGCCACACTACACCCACCACACACACACACACAGCCACACACCCCCGCCACATGCCACACACACACCCACTCACCCAGCCACACAACACGCTCCCTGTGGGAGCCAGCAGAGAGGCACCAACAAGCATTTTTAAGTAGCCAACAGGCATAATGAGGGCAAGGAGTATCTCATTCTTCTCACGCTTCATAGAAAAGTTGGGCTAGGAACTCAGGAGGTTCCTCCTCCTACTCCGACCCTACTGTGTCCTGTCCCCCAAGCACCCTCCCCTCCAACCTCCAAGGAACAATGTTAAACCAATCCTTTTGTACCCAGCAGAGAAAAATTTCAATGAAGTGATCATACAGCAAACGTCATTCAACTTCTGCAACAATTAATATAGCAAGCAAACTAATAAGAATGTACAGGATAACGCATTACACAAATATATCTAGATATACTCCATAACTGATTATAAAGTTAACAGAACTAAGCTGTCTTACAATATAGTATAATATAAAATCCCAAATCCTATAAGTCCTGATAGGTGGTCAGCCTGCCTAGAGGGCCTTACCCAAAATGCAGAGTAATTTCTGAGGTGGGATCCTTAGAACAGAGGTTCCCAAACCTTGTCTTATTGCGTGCTCCCTTCCAGATTTGCCAGCTGCCCGCATACCTCTATCAGCATGTGTTTTATATTTTAACCGCTTAAATGCCTATAATATAATATAATATAATATAATATAAATGAAAATTAAATCTGCCATTTCACAGTTTCTCGCACGTACCCCCGAGAGATGTCTTGCAGTTTGGAAACCCCTGCCTTAGGACATCTGCAGATGTGAAGCTCGGCACAGGACGCACAAGGAACATCCAACGTGGCTTCCACGCGCCTCCTGCCATCTGAGGCGCACGGGGCAGTTTCTCTGCTGTGGCGATGCCAGCATTGCAGCACCCCTGGCTCGTTCCTGTGCCCTCTCCCCAGTTGAGAACCACTGGTCTAACCTGTTTGTAAGTATTTTGGGAACAACCAGCGAGCGAGCATCTATACCAGTGCTTCTCAACCTTTTCGGACTCTCTCTGGGTTTATCTTGTGACTCACGTTCTCACACTTGGCAATGCGAAGCACGCTGCAGCACCCTTGAAAGGGTCCTGCCACAACCCCCTGCTCGAGAACCAGGGGTCTGCGCCCATCTCACGCCAGCGAGAGGAGCAGGGAGAAAACCCCGGCGATGCCCAGGTCACTCTGCCTTTTGGCACGTGCTGGCTGCCTCCGAGGCACAGGCCTCTTCGTGCACACAAGGATCCTGGGCCCGTGCCCGCGCAGGAACGGCAATGGTTCCGCTCTGCTGGCAGGCATGCACCCCGAAGGGAGTTACAAACCCCGAGGGAAGTATCATGACAGGCCTCTTTATAAACCCCTGGTGCATCCACACCGCCCACCCCTCAGAAAGGAGATAGAGGAATAGCGAAGGGCAAGCGGGATGATCAGTGTGGGCAGGGTGGTCGTCCGCCCCGGTTGCGGAGGGCAGGCCCTGGGACGCGATGCCCGAGGGGCGCCGTGAGGAAAGGGTTACGAAGCGCTAATGGCGACGCGCTCGCCCAGGGGGCCCGGGGACAAGCCCGCTGTGCTTCCTTCCACCAACTCAAAGCCCTCGGAGGATTTCTCGGCGTGTGAACCCTCACACGCGCGGGGCCGCAGGCGGGTAGAGGTAGTGCCCCCGCTTGAGGGAGCCGCCTCCATCTTGTGCGAGGCCCCGCCCACAGGGAGGCGGTCCGCCATGCAGCGCAGCGCAGCGCCTCACAGCGCCCGCCGGGGGGCAAGATGGCGGCGGGGGAGGGCGGTTTGAGCCCCCGGTAGGTTGTTGTCGGCCCCCGGCGCGAGCCGGCCTCAATCGTCCCGTCTGTAAAATGGGGGCAGCGCCGCCCTCCCGGCCCCAGGGTCCGCAGCGCCGCGCTTCCCGGAGGGGCTCCGCCGCCCGCGCGGAGGGGGCTTGAGGGCACCGCGGCCCCCTTCCCTCCAGGTAAACGTGGCGAGTGTGGACGCGGGGGGACTCGGCGCCGTGAAGGGCCCCGGGCGGCGTCGGGAGCACGGCGGCGTCCTGCTCCAGGGCCCGGCGCGTGGCCGCGCTGCGTGTGTGGCGCGACGCGCGTGTCCGCTCCACGGGCGAGTCGTGCGAGCGGCCTCGTGCGACAAGCAACGGACACCCTCCACGTGCGAGTCGCGCAATAAATGTCGTGTGTGCGATCGTTGCTTGGCGTGTGTGGCCGGTGTACATTTATTGCACAATTTGCCCGTTAAGTGCATGATCGTTGCTTGGCGCATGTGGCTGGTCTACATTTATTGCACGATTCACCTATTAAGTGCTTGATCGTTGCTTGGCGTGTGTGGCTGGTGTACATTTATTGCACAATTTGCCCGTTAAGTGCATGATATTTGCTTGGCGCGTGTGGCCGCTCTACATTTATTGTGTGGTTCACCTGTTAAGTGCATGATCATCGCTTGGCGCTTGTGGCCGGTCTACATTTATCACGCAATTTGCCCGTTAAGTGCGTGATCATTGCTTGGCGCGGGTGGCCGCTCTACGTTATTGTGTGTTTTGCCCATTAATTGCATGATCGATGTTTGGCACGTGTGGCTGCGCTACATTTATTGCGCAATTCGCCTATTAAGTGCATGATCGTTGCTTGGCACGTGTGGCCAGTCTACATTTATTGCATGCTTCTCCTGTTAAGTGCGTGATCATCGCTTGGCACATGTGGCCGGTCTACATTTATTGCGCAATTTGCCTGTTAAGTGCATGATCATTGCATGGTGCATGTGGCCGGTCTGTTGTGTGATTCACCCGTTAAGTGCGTGATCATTGCTTGGCACGGGTGGCCGCTCTACGTTTATTGCATGTTTTGCCCATTAATTGCGTGATCGTTGCTTGGCATGTGCGACCGGTCTACATTTATTGTGCGATTCGCCTGTGAATTGCAGTAGATATGTAATGTGTTGCAAGGGCCTAAGAAATGTGCATTATTTTTACTATCGTAGTATCTAAGATGCATTGATATACGGAGACCTGTAGGCCTGCCTAGGAGTTCAGCTGGTCCCTGACTCGGTATCCAGGCTGGCATCCTACAGGCAAATCCCAGGCTCAGAAATCCCCGTGTTCAGGTACCCCCGGGTGCCCTTCATCTTATCCAGGAGATGAGCAGATAAGGAAGGTGCAGCTGTCCATGCCTGGCCTCTGCAAGGAGGGAAGCGCTGTAGCATAGCTGGAACTGGGAACAGGGAACCAGGAATAAGGAACTGACTTTGGCCTTGCTGCAACACAGAGGCTAGCTTTGAAATGGGGCATCAGTCAGTTCACACGTGCGATGGGATGGAGGGGGCCCTGTTGCAGCGAGAGGACTCAAGCCCAGCCGGGCTGAGAACGACTGGTCTGTAGCACGGTCGTCTCTGTTTTCTTTCTGCAGAGGTCGGTGTGTGCGTTCACAGGTGCTGTGACACCGCTCTCCCATAGGCTTCGGTAGATGCGTCACTGAGAGCAGCTGGTGCTTGGTCTTATCCACCCCTGCCCTGCCTGGTGTTACCACCTTGTAGAGCTGGACTTGAGTGAGTTCGGTGATCATGAAGCTTGAGAGCAATAGTTAAGATCCGTATGGGCTTAGTAGAGTCTATGCCTCTTCCTTCTTTCTGGGTAACAATTCTGGCTGGAGGGGAGAGGCACTTTTTTTTTTCTGGTTGTTTTGTTAATCCTTCTGATGCCTTTTAGTCAAGGGCAGGAGTGAGACGTATAGCATTACAGTGGAAAGGTTTAAGCACAGGTTTTGCAACCTTTCCTAAAGATGAGACTTGCAGTTTGCCTAATCTCTTCTGGAAGGCCTCTCCCTCCTTGCATCACAGCAACCATGATGGCTTTATCCCTCGGCTTTTGCCCAGTTCATCCTGGGTTTTGTCCTCTGCGTTGCTGTCCTGGAATGCAAAAGTCTCTCTGGTCCGTAGATTGAAAACTGGTGTTTGATGTAACTCAGTCTTAATCCATGAAGGAAAAGCTAATGATGTTTTGCTTGCTGATTAGAACAGATTGCTGTAGTGTTTTGTGAAGCTAATGATGTACAAACACACTGCCAGGTATTTATGTGATGGCGTCTGCTGCACTTGCTTGAGCAGGAAGACACCTACATGGTTTTCATTGGGAATTTGAGGCCTGTATTTTTCTGGTTCTGCTTGTATTAGCAGATGGTTAATTACAATGTTAATTTATTATGGCAATAACTCACAATCCCATATGTTATGGCATCATAATTTCAGTAAATGAGAAGTATACAGTTTGTGTTCCATATTGTGCTCTGAAATACAGGCAGTCCTCGACTTACAGCATTTCGCACTTACAACGTTTATAAATTTCAACTTTATGATGTCAGTTTCGACTTTACAAGGCTTGATCGGACACGAGGCCACGCCAGCGAGCAAGTTCGCTGCATCGCTCATCTCCCTGGAGAACATCTGTCCAAACTTCCTTGGACACTTTCTTTAAGAAAGCAGACGAGACTCCAGGAACACCTGCAGCCAGGACTCCCGAGAAGACTCCAGCCAGGAGCCCTTCAAAATGTCCATCCAAGAGCCTTTCAAAAAGTCCAGCAAAGTCACCTCAAAGAAGTCCTTCCAAATCAATATGATTGCTATTTACAATATAAATACATTGGTGTAGCTATATTACTCATCTATAATTGATCCAGTACAAAATTCTGGAGTATTTTTGGTGAAAATAAGGTATTGGGCCTTAGTTCAGGAACCAGTCCCTCATTTATAACATCGTTTCTTATGAGAAAATTGATTCCAAGTTACGTTTCGACTTAAGATGCAGTTTTTAGGAACCAATTGTGTCGTAAGCCTGGGGACTGCCTGTATCAGAATTAGGGGTTTCCTCAAAAGCCATCCCATCCCATCAGCAGCTCCAAGAATTTCAAGTTATAGTTAGCAGTCTCCTTTCTGTAGAGAACAAGAATGGTTTCATAGAGGGCACTAGAGCAGAATTTGAGACACCAAGATTTCTGCCCTGCTGTGGCTTTTCTCTGTGACCTTAGGTAAAGTCTCTCCGTGCCTCAGTTCCCCATCTGTAAAATGGGGATATTATTTTCCCTTTCCTACTTCACAAGGAAAAATGTATTGAAAGACTTTGTGAGGTTAAGAAATGTACATCACCCCTGTTGTCATAGTATCTAAGATACATAGATGTATGTAAACCTTGTCTGGCAATAACAAACTGTTACCATCCAGCCCAGCCTGGTAACCAGGCAAGATCCCAGTCTGGAACTGCCGTGCATGCAGGAAGGCTGGGTTCTGTGTAGTGCCGTTGCTAGGACATGCTCAACTTTTTTTTGAGGGTCCGGACCTAACATATCCATTTTGAGGTCAGATAAAAATTAAGACTACTTGGTTCCCATATGTGTTATTTTAAGTCTCAGATTTCTTATGTAAATATTTTTATGGCTTTATGGTGCTTTTATAATATCTTCTGTTGCTTTGGATTGCACCCAAGTAGAAGAATTGTATTTTGGGTTTCACTCAGATATGCCTGTTGTTTACACAGGATTTGTAGTCTAAATATGTTTTATTGATTAACATTATGTGTGCGTTTGGGAAAATATAAATTTAGAAAAGAAAATACAGACTAAAGCTAAGCAAACAATAAAAACCCAGCAAAAATACAGCTGCCAGCATTTTTCCTTCGAGTTTCACCCTGATTTGTTTCTTTTAAAACCTGGTTCTCTATATGCACTTGAGTGCAGTTTTTGCACATCAAAGTTTTTGGGTTTGTTTTTTTTTTTCCAATCTGGCATCACTGCATATGCAGTACTTAAAAATGCTAATCCTTTTTATTTACATGATTCCAGTGTCTTGTATGCAAACAGATTTTTTTTTTAAATAGGCTGTTAGAAAATTTTACTAGGATGTGTATCTATGTTTCAATTACAAACTGTAGACCTTATTGGAATGAACAGCCCTCTCCAATATGTGTATGTTGGTAGTGTTTCCACATTAGATTTAATTGCTTTTTTCACCTCGGTTACAAGAAATGCCAGTGTCACAGTAGTTATGGAAAATTATATTGCTTTCTTCTATTATACTACTTAGTGACAACTCTTCATTATAAGGACAGTATATTACAACTTTACATTTTATCAAGAGCATTGTGCATTGGTTTAAAGGAACATGAAAGCAAATATCAATTAGAGAAAATGCCTACTATTGGCCAGTCACATGGATGCAAAAATTCTGCATAAGTCTCATTTCCATTGTTTCTAATGCAGTGCTGTGTCCCAGTACGTACTTGCAGACCATGTGATTGTTCCCTCCATGAAAATAAGCTGTATCTTGCTCACTCAAGCACTTAAGTATTAAATATTCTAGTAGGAGGACACAGAGGCTTGGCAAATGCAATGCATTAATGCAGGCAGACAAGGTTCCTTGGGTGAATTTGATATCTTTGATTAGACCAATGCATTCTTTTCTTGCGACACCTGTAGCAATAATCAAATATAAGGCTGACTGTACATGTCTGGTAGAAGACAATTAGGATTAAAATCCTTCTTTCATTGAATTCCCAGATATGTTTTTTAAAAAGTGAGTGCTACTAGGCTCTTTTGTTCTCAGTCCTGTTTTCTACCTCAGTCCTTAGTTTAAGAAGTCCTGCCTGTTGTCCCTTGGTTGGGCAAATTAGTATATTTTTTATTTAGAAATATATTGTAAACTATACAATAATGTATTCCCATTTTAGAGTTTGCTAATAGTCATGCAGTTTAGCAAAACCTGGTGGAACTCTGTGTGGTTCTATAAAAATAGGGCAAGGCAATTGTATCTTATGGTGAAGTTTTGAGTTTCGTTTAGTGACATTGCTTTTTTCTTTTTCTTTTTCCTTTCGTTGCTTCACTACAGGAAAAATGAAACACATCCAAGATTCCTGAATAATAAGAATGGGTCCAGATGTACCACTACTAAATGATTACAAGCAGGAGTTCTTCTTGAAGCGCTTTCCACAGACTGTCCTGGGAGGTCCCCGATTTAAATTAGGCTATTGTGCCCCTCCTTACATATATGTGAATCAGATTATTCTTTTCCTAACACCATGGGTTTTGGGAGGAGTAGGAACACTTTTGTACCAGTTAGATATTATGAAAGACTATTACACTGCAGCACTTTCCGGAGGACTGATGCTTGTTACAGCACTTATTCTCCAGTTGACAAATCTGCACGCGAGACAGAGAACAGTGACGGTAGAAAGAATGCAGGTTCCAAATACCCTAACAGATGAAGACGAGTATGAATTTTCTAGCTGTTTAGGTTCAGAGACAGTAAAATTTATTATTCCAGGCAAGAAGTATATAGTGAACACTGTTTTTCATTCATTTCTTGCTGGGGTCATGTGTGGTTTGGGTACTTGGTATTTGCTACCAAACAGAATAACTTTGCTGTATGATAACGTTGGAGGAACTGTTATGATCTTTGTGTTTGGATGGGTGACTATATGTATAGGAGAATATTCATTAATCATAAATACGGCTACAGAGACAGCTGCTTTCCAAGCACTGGATACTTATGAAATTACCGCTTTGATGAGACCTTTCTATATTTTTGTCTTTATTGCAGTGGATCTTGCATACAGGTAAACCTAAGTTAATGTTTATGTAATTTAATGTTGATTAACATATGCAGATACCTTGGTGGATGCTGTGAAGTAACTCTTGAAAAAGTTGTAGAGATGTTATCCAACTGGAAAAAGCCTGGCATGCTTACAGTAGAAACTTGCGTTTTTACTTTGCATGCAGAAATTTTGGAATTGTGTAGCTTTTCAAGAGAAGTTAAGAGACTCAAAAGTTTGGTCTTGCATAGTTAAAATTGTCATCTGCAATCACAAATCCAGTAAAGTAGCCTTAAATTATTGCATCCCCATTCTTTTAGGGATCCATTATCAAGCAATATATTATGGATTTTAAATGTCTTCATTTTATTTTTTTCTAAATATATATCAAATTTGTTACTTTTAAATGAGAAATGAACCTGCCATGAAACTATGGGTCTAAACACTGCACATTCCAGAAAGTTTTGATCTGTATACAAATATTGTACTTCAGCACTTCTTTAATTTATCCCATGTAAAAGGGTTGCAACAAAACCAAAATGAAGCTGCATAGAAGAGACTTTGCATAAAATGCAGTAGGTCCAGAAGTTGGAAACTGAAACTTATGACAGTTATGGTCCCTATAAAATTTAGCCTTGGATTGCTAAATGCTTTTGTAGTGGTCTAGATTGGAAAACAGAACATAATTTTATATTCCCCTCTTCAGATCTCTCTCTCAGCCAAGGTATTTGCAAAGTGTCTCAGGGTAAAAATTCACTTTTTAGCTCCTTTTCATGTACTCCTTGTTAGGTGTCAGTCGTATCAATTTGGCAGGCTACGTCTCATTCTTTAAGTAAATCGCCTGTATTAAAAACACAGAACTTAATTCTACTGTTCTTCTAGTTTTGCACTCAGTTATTTTTTTCTTAAAGATTCAGACCACGTTGTTCCTTCAGTTAAAGTAATAACATTCACAGTACATACTTTGTAGACCCTAAACAGGTTTTCCATCCAAATGAAGGAAGATTAGATTTCTGACATTCCTGATATTTGTAAGCCAAATATTCCAGGCCTGTTTTCATAGCAAAAAGGGAGCAAACCAAATATTTTAAAAATCTTTTAGCATGTGATTTTTAAGATAATTACCATGGGCTTATTTGTATATTAGTTAAGTTATGCAGACTTCTTAATATCAGCTTTTTATCTATAAGCTTTTTGTACATTTGTATATTTACAAAAGGGTTTTATAGTTTTTCTGTACAAAAATACATTGTGACTCTTAAAGAGAATTCAGATATTGACTAAGAATAATTTAGTTACTCATTTAAATTAATTTAAAAGGCTTTGCATATAAGAAAAATGTTGCACTGATTTAACTTATATTGGTTTAAAATAATGTCTTTACACTTTTCATTTAAACAAGGCCTTAGTAAAATCTTTGGCTCCTTGTTTTATGCTTGCCACTTCAGTATAAAATTTCCTAATTTTGAAGCATTCTTTATTTTGGACTGTCACAGTATTCTGGGAGTTCTGTATCTTTGGCATCAAAAAATCATATATGTTCTTATGCTTATAGTTTGATAATGTCCCAAGCATTAATTTTAAATATCTAGCTTATCAACAAAAATCTGAAGATTCTGGCATTTGAATATGGGTGGATACATTTTAAACTTGCCTCTCTACGTACAGTATCTGTTCATGTTTCCTTTCATAGAAGTCAGATATGTTTTTTTCTTTCATCCAGGTTTGCTGGTAACATACCCGTCCTAGAGCAGACAAACCAGATCTTGCACATCTTATTTCTGTTTCTGCCATTCTTATGGGCATTGGGAATTCTGCCTCTGCTCGATGCACTTTTTCTATGGGGAATGGAACAAGTGTTGGAGTTTGTCCTAGGAGGTTCACCCATGTCGAGTAACATAAAGTAAATTTGATTTCTATAATGATAAATATAACAGTATAGTCTCTAACCCTTTTCTTTTCAAGCAAATCTTTTTTTCTTCTTCTCCTTCACAGGTTATTAGTAATGTTTCTCATTTCTGCTGGAACAGCTATAGCATCGTATTTCATTCCCAGCACTCTTGGTGTGGTCCTCTTCATGACTGGATTTGGGTTCATACTGAGTCTTAACCTAAGTGAGATTGGTTTTTCCTTCAAGCACACCATGAGCAGCCATTTAGCTTCCAGCAAGTCTAAGACTCTATCCAGTGGTCCTAGGATACAGTTTGGGCGAAGGGAATTCATTTTCTATTTGACTGTGTTGACATTTGCTCTTATAGAAGCTAGCCTGCTGCACCACTTTGCTGGTTTTACAGCATTTTCCAAAGAGAGTCCCCAAGCTATAGTGAGTTACTTTCTGATCATATTACTCCTAATTATGTGGATTCTTAGAGAGATTCAGAGAGTATACTTGTTTGGAGTCTTCCGAAATCCCTTTTATCCAAAGGATATCAGGACTGTGACTGTATTCATGGAGAAGCAAAGAAGGCTTATGAAAGTTGGTGTTGTCAGGAGGATTTTACTAACACTAGGTAGGAATTCCACTATCTGCTTTTTGCAAGATGATTAGGGGAGATTAATATGACAGTAACATTTTCTCTGTGTGTGAGTTAAAATACGTGTTCTAAGAAGAATTAAGAGGCTGAAAATTTGCATTAAGACTTTTGTGCAGTTGTGCATTCAGAATTAAAAGTAACACACCAAGGTTTTTGGAAATGACCGGTGGTGTGTTGTGTATTCGAGGTTTTTTGGGTGCTCAGCACAAGGCACATTAAAAGGGCCTTTAGAATGTGAGTGCTTGGTACTTTCTAACAATAGGACTTCCTAGAGTGTCTTAAGCTTGGCACCTGCAAATTGCTGGTCACTTTTTGAAAACCTTTGCTCTCATTTTTGATAAAACTACCAAAACAAAAGTGAATTGAGAAAATGTGGACATCAGTTAAAATGTTCGTTCCTTGCAGTCTTTTAATACAGGGTCCAGCCTTGCTTTTACTGAAGTACATGATGGATTTTCCACTTGCTTCAGAGGAAAGGGTATTTAGTCCAAATTGAGCTTATTTTTGTAGATGTAACAGTTTTGGAGACATGATCCAGAAACACTTTTCACATCATTTATCTTAAGTATTCATGCTTACGCTTAACTTAATTCATGATTCTTTTCTGAAGTTAATTGGAATACTCAGTTTGCAGGGTTTGGCTCTGGATAAGAATATGCCATCTTATTTTAATGTTTCAGGAGCAGGGTGGGGAAGGACTTTGTGAGAATTACTAATGGCTTGATTGGGACAAGCTAAGATTTCCATTGTGCAATGTACCCTTTATAAAACTAGCCAAATGATGTGCTTTTGTAGGAATTTTACAAAGAAAATTATTGACGTCTCTCTTTTTCATTGCAGTGTCTCCATTTGTTATGATAGCATTTATTTCACTAGACTGTTCCCTACAAAATCTTCATTCTGTGTCTGTTTGCATTGGATTCACAAGAATCTTTAGAATGGTAATTTGACATATTTTTAATATGTACTATGTAGAAGATATTTTTCCCTAAAGTAATAAGGACTTACAACTTAAATATACTCCAGGTCAAGAAGCGGGAGAAAGGGTGGATTCCTGGTACCACAAATAATCAGTCTCTGTCCTAGGTCTGGCAAAATACAGAGAATGCCATGCTGGACACAGTGGTGGTGTCAATAGTACAGATGCTGGTGTTTAATACAGATGTATGGTGGAACAGGAGCCTGGATACAGGAATCAGACTCTTACTGGTAAACGTTCTTTTTTAACTAAGCAGGTAGTTCTTGTTGTATTATTTTGTTGTTTCCTAGTCTGTTCTTTTCTGCTTTTTCTAAAATTGGGGCTCAGGACTTGTGGGAATGGAGACACGTTCTGCATACACAGAACTGCTCTTAGTACAGCAGTAAATGACAGTTTCACTTAGCCCGCAGAATTCTTCTGTGTAAGGTTGAAAGATCTCTAGCAGTGCTGAATGTGCCGAGATGCTGATAGAAAAAATATTTTTCTATTATACAGGTTGGTGTCATTCGGGATCGACTACTTCAGTTTATCTCAAAGCTGCAGTTTGCATTAACTGTTCTCTTGACATCGTGGACCGAAAAAAAGCAACGTCGTAAATCCTCCACCACATTAATTACACTCAACGTTGTTTTCTTCCCTGTTGTATTGGCCTTCATTGCTGTTTCTGCGGTGCTGTCTTCCCCCTTGCTGCCTCTCTTCACTCTCCCAATATTTTTGATCGGGTTTCCCAGACCAATCCGAAGCTGGCCAGGATCTGTGGGTGTAACAGCATCTGTTTGTTCCGATACTGTGTACTACAAGCAGATGGTTCCAAGTCTGGCTGCCGCACTGCAATCTGCACTAGCAGCTGGTAGCTTAGGTAGGTAGATAAGCAAAGCAGGTTGTAAAAGAATTTGCAGATAAGATCACTGAGTACTTTAGTATATACAGTCTTACTGCAGAATTGTTGCATCTGATTTAAATAACTTTCTTTGCTACCTAGGTTAAAATTTCAACACTGTGTTTTGTAGGGCTTATTGAAAAAGAGAGAGAGAGAGTGTGTGCGTGTTTATTGCATTCTCCTAACAGAATGCTGTATTTTAATGACCAGTGTAGTGGTGAAAGAAGAATATTGCTCTTGATATTTGTATATATTGAACAAGAACTAGTCTCTATGAAGTAAAAGGGCTGGGGCTCTGCTGTGTATCAGTTGCTGCCTGTCAGAGATGATGTCCCCTAGAATGAATTTCACAAACCTAGAAAACGGTGGTAACACAGCCTTTTAGCCTTCATCTGCTGCAGTGTAGGAGCCTGTACATGGGCAGTTACCAGCCCCCTTAGCTGTTCCACAGCAAAGACCCATCTCTTATTCCTTAGCAGGTAACCACCAGATGACTTGTGCGTACCAGAAGGGTTTCTAGAGGATAGGTACTAATTCAGTTGCAAGTTATGGGCAGGAGCCACTTGCTGAAATTCCATATTTATGTAGGAGGATAGACTAGAGCCTCATAATGGTCCTTTTTGTGTCTTAAAATGTATGAGAAGCTGCTTCCATTTGTTTTTTAATTGTACAGAGGTGAAAAAAAAAGACTTACTAGGTCTCTCTTGCCCATTTGAAGACAAAACAATCTCTGAAATGGCAAGAATTTTTCTGAGAAACACTTACCATGCGTGTAACCAGAATCATAGAAAAGTAGGGCTGGAAGGGACCTCCGCAGATCATCTAGTCCAACCCTTCACCAGAGGCAGAATCGTTCCTATCTAAACCATCCTATACAAAACCATTTTCTAAGTTATTAGTTAACTAAAGTCAACCCTGATGCAACCACAAAACAAAACACCCTAACCTGCAACAGATAAGGCTTAGAGACAGGGACAGCCAATGCAAGGTTGTTAAAATATGTTTGACAGATCCAAGGAAGATGGCAAGACCCTCAACAGTCTGTACCAATTGAGCCTGAATTGGTAACCTGGGGAATAATTAAGTGTGTTTTAGCCTACTGGTAAAGGATAAGTATTTATCTAAGAAACCTAGATGGCATCTTAGGTCAAGAGGCAGAGTTGAAGAGGTCTTGGTATTTAGAGGCAGTAGATATAAGGTTTAGTCACTCAAGGCAATTGAAGAAGAGATGCAGAGACTTTCGCCAAGTTATATTCAGTGTCTTAAGTATCAGTGCCAAAGATGTGTGAAGTAAAGTAATTTTAGCAAGTTTTCTCAGGAAAAAAGAGAAGTCCACTGTGCCAGGCAATAAGAGAACACATAAGAGCATTTTCATAACAGCAGCAGGGCACTTACCAAAAATCGCAATAAAAGCAAAATGTTAGCAAGGAAGTGCACTTTATTAGCATGGTGCAATATAAAAGCTTGTTTTAAATTTTAACTATGACTGAATGCTTGCTTTCACCAATTATATCTTGCTGCACTATGAAACCAAAATTAGTCATTTAAATTAAAGGTGATACAAATGAGCAGTGTGCTAGTAGCATATGTACATTGCCACATTTAGGAAGATTTCTGATGTGTTGGTGAAATAATAGTCTTTAACCTAAGGCTGAGAGAAGAACAGCAGCTTGGTTACTTATTTGGCTTTGCCCCTTTACTTCTGAGTAGAAGAGGAGAGGAGCAAACTGATAGGGGACTTCTGTGTGAGTCAGGGAGGTCTAATGGCCAGAGCAGAAAGTTTGATGTGTGAGGACTCCTGAGTATTAGCATTGCCCTTAACTTGTTATGTAATCTGGCAAATCATTTAGGGGCCAAATCTTAATTGACCTTATAAGCACCGAAGGCACAAAGAGCAATCTTCATCACCCCTGTTCTGTGCCCACCAAATCACTTAAGCATAGAGATTCTTTAGGCACTTCCATTTTGGCTGCAAGACTTGGACTGCTGTGCCTTCTCTGAAGTAAGTCAGATTGGCCACCTGGTTTCCAGTTAGATAGCCTTTGGTTATAAAAACAGAAAGCTCATGCTGCCCTGAGTCAGATGCCCGTGGTCCAAGGAGGAGGAGGAATTCAGACAGACCCCAGTGTCCAGCATTTCCTATTGGTTACCTGTAAGCACATCTGCTCAGCACCTACCTGGGAGCTACCTAAGTCTTCCTGTTTGCTGTAGGGATCTTTGGTGCCTAACCATGCCAGTCTGGGTCACCCTCCTGGGCAAGGCCTCAATAATAACTGTTAAATGGAAGAGCCTACAAGATCAGTTTGAATTGGGCCCTTACACTGTAATTCTCAAAAGCCCATTTAAGTTTGATACTCAATTATTTTAAGGTACCCACCCACTTTGACAGATAGAGCTTGTCCGAGTGATGCTGAGGAACAGGAGACTCCGTTTGGGTTCTGGTTGCTCTGTACCTCTGAAATTAATCTGTGAGCGTGGCAAGTTGGATACCCAAAACTGGATGCTCTTGAAAACTTGCCTTAATGTCTCTGCAAACAGCCGCTATGCCTCATAGGTAAACTGAAATTTGAAAGTGTTTTGAGATCCTTGAATAACAATGCCATAGGATCATCAATGAGTATTTCTGAGGTAGGCAGACAAGGTTCCTTGGGTGAATTTGATATCTTTTATTAGACCAACCCAAATGGTTGGAGAATAGTTATTAAGCAAGCTTTCGGGTTCAAAAACCCTTCGTCAGGCTCAGGAAGCTGCAGCAGTTGGTGTGTCTGTGTATTTCTGAGGTAGTAATAAATCAGTGCTTGAATAGTGTGATGAGCATTGCAGAGAAATTGAAATCTGTAAAGAATGAGGCTTTTCCAAATTGAACTGAGAAAACTGCAAAGATAAAAATGAATTGTCTTGATGAAACTTTGCGCCTTTTAGCTGAACAACTAGTGACTAACTGAGTTGATATCATTAAAAAAATTCTCTTGGTTCCCAGGTGTAAGTTTGGTAATTTAGGACCTGGTAGTGCATGTGCTGCGTCCTTTTCAATTACTCTTAACTTGTCCCTTAACATATGTTATGAACTACTTGGTTGGGAGGGCCGATATGGCATTTATGAGCCAGAAGTCCTTTTTTTGGTTTTATAATTTTATTTTGCATATTCTAAAGTCATTTAGTATATGGAAGTTATGACAGGAAAATGACCAGAGAGGATCCTTTAAGCATTTCGACTCCAATCCACAAAGGGACTTCAGTGTAGTGGGATTGACTGTTATTATACTTTGCTTTTACTCCCTGGAGTGGAATTAGCAGGCCCAGGTTGGAGCCTAAGATTCCTGTGCAATGCAGTGGTGAGATTTAGGTGTCTATGAATGGGGTTCACAGCATCCAGCATGTTGAATGGGACAGAGCTGGGGTGGGGGTGTAGCCAATAGGACGTGTCAAAAAGAGGAAATTCCCCTCCGGATGTAAAGTCTGCAGCCCCAAGTTAGGTGTTTATGTGAGATCAGGATTCGCAGTCCAAAGTCCTCTCCTGGATTTAAGTGCCTATGTTTTCTCTTTTGGGGTGGATTACTGACTCGTCCCTTTGTATTAAAACACAGGTGTTTGTGACTGTCTTCCCTGTAAGCTGGTTGTTAGGGCAACTGCCCAGGAAGTGGAGAGCCTTGGTTCTGTGCCCTTGCGAGGGAGTTCAGATCCGTAACTACTGCCTCCCAGGAGAACGCCCTGACCACCAGACTGCAGGCTAGGCTTTTGGGGGGGGTGCACTTTCCACCTCCAAGAATGAGGAGCTCGTGGGACCGGAGGGAGAGGACGCCCAGCAATGAGAGCATTCTCCTTGAAAGAGAGAGCCCTGGTTTTTACCTTTGCTGCTTTATGCATTTTTTCCAATAACTTGAATGTGTAATGCTGCCCCCCTTTATTATTTGCTACCTCATCCATTTTTGTGTCCCCTGCAAAATTTACCAGCAAAGATTTTTAAAGATTTTTGTATCATTGTTTAGATTAGATTATTGTTAAAAATAATACATTGTTTTTTAATTAGAGTTGAAGCAGCCCTGGTCATTGATATTTCCCTATTAGCCAACACATTTTGAGATCTGTCAGTAGGTCAGTTTTTAGTCTAATATGTGCCTCGTTCATTTCACATAACGCAAGCTTTTACATCCAAATATTACACGGTACTAAGTCATATGCCTTGCAGCAGTCCAAGTATACTGCATTAGCACAGTTGTTTTTATCAACCAGGCCTGTAAAAAAAAAAAAAAAAAAAAAGACAGCAGGTTTGTTTAATAAGATTAACTTCCATGCTGATTTGTACAACCCTCTAAATTTTGTTGGTAAAGCTCAAAATAACTATTGTATTATTTTACGTGGAACAGATAGATGTTAGGCTAACAAGTGTATAGTCCCTTAGAACATCTTTTGCCTTGTTTGAAAAATATGTTCCTAAATTTAATCCTCTTGTCTTTTTGGAAGTTCTCTGATTTTTTTTTTTCCATGACTTGTTTAAAATTAAGTAGTTTAGATTGCTGCTCAATTCGTTCTTTTAAGATAGAAGTTATCCAGACTAGTTCAGTTGATTTCATGCTGGAAGTGTCTCCGTAGTGGCTTCCTTTCTTTTGTTTAGAAGAAAAAGTAATCAACAAAACGCTGCAGTAAAAATTTAAGCCTCTTTTTCTGCTGTTTTTAGGTCTCTTTTTACCTGGATCACACTACTTGTGCCGTTTTCAGGACAGACTGATATGGATATTGGTGATAGAAAGAGGCTTCACATACTGTTGTGTTAATATTAAGGTGAATATTTACTGAAACCTTTGTTTTGGAAACATGCAAATCCTTTTCTGTGTTATTTCCTCCAACAGAACAAGCAAAAATACTTACATTCTATAAGACTAAGACTCTTTACTGGTTATATTAACCTGATCTGGTTTAGTTTTGTAACTAAAAGGGTTTTTCTCAATATTAAGACTATAACATAATCTTTAAAACCATCTGAAAGGCATAGACAAATTGTACAAGAACCTGCAAATCAAGAAATAATGGGCACGTCTACACATTCATTAATGTGCAGTGTCTACTGTGCATTAAATTTAGTACTTTCAAGAGGAAGTACTATATAAATGCTTAGTAGGCTGTTCTAATGCGCATTAGTGCGATCGCATGCTTTTTTTTTGAACGGTTAATGCTCAGTAGACTAATACTACTGCACATTAGCTTAATAGCATGGTTTTTGCTGTAATGCACAGTCAGTCAGTCTACTGCGCATTGTTTTGTATAGACGCATCCAGTTTTTACAAGCATGGAAGTACTATATAATTTGAATTGGCTTGTGGTATGAGACTTTAAAACTTAAAGTGGGTATCTGTGAGGACTGAAGTTTATGTGGCAGATGGAACCGGATGGCTCTAAAGCAAGTTCAGAAGTGGTAGTATTGCGTGAAGTACTGTTAGTCAGTCCATCAAATAAGATGCTGAGTGCTATTAAAATTGCAAGTGATTGCTCTGTTAGTTCCGGAAATATTGGAAATACTGGGCATAGTTTTCATTTGCTGGGAATAGTTGTTGCAAGAAAAAAGAGCCTGTTAGTTTTTAAAGGCTTGTTCATATGCAGAGTAAAGCTGAATTATTTCCACTTGTGCTGTAGGGGCTAGAGTTGCAAGAAACCTCCTGTCACACTGCAGAAGCTCACAGAGTTGATGACATTTTTGCAATGGCCTTTGAGCGTGAGGAGCATGCAAAGACTCTCTCTCTCAATCATCATTTTGGAAACATTTTAACCCCTTGCACAGCTCTACCTGTGAGGCTGTATTCTGATGCCAAAAATGTCTTGTCTGGAATAATTGATTCTCATGAAAACTTAAAGCAGCTGAAAGATGATTTTGTTAAAGTGCTTGTGTGGGTGCTAGTCCAGTATTTCTATAACAAATCGAAAACATGTGAGAAGCTGGACAAAGCAGACAAGGACACAGATGAATCATTTCCAATAAACAAGAAAGCATTTAACAATACAGTGGAAAGACCCAGGTCTGTAAGGGATGAAGATAGCTTTAGTGTAGAGACAATTGAGGACTGGACTGATGATAGTGATCTTTTTGATCTTGAGCCCACTGGGAGAATGAGAGAGAGAAAAGAAATGGGACCAGCAGCAACTGCACCAAGAATGCATTTGTCTATTCCAGGATCTGTAGAAATGCAGAGCAGAGATGGTGCTCTACAAAAGACACCACTTGAAGATAAACTACACAGACCCGTTGTACTTGGACTTCCTGCTCTAGATAAAGGAAAAAAGCAGGAAGTGTTAAGACTACCTTCACTTGAATTTAGCTGCTCCTATTCGGAGCTGCTAAGCATACCTGAAGAATGGAGAACAGCGCCCATCCCTGCTTCCAAACTCAATGAGATGAGGCAGAGGTTTCCAGAAGAGTGGTACCATTTCATTTTGAGTCAACTGGATTTTTTTCATTTGGAAGAAAAGCCTGCCAGTTTACTTGAAGACCTTACTAAAGACAAAGCTTTGAAAGACTTGTATATCCATGGTGTATTGTCATGTTGTTTTGGTTTGTTTGGACTAGACAGTACAGTTCCTGCTCCTAGTCATGTATTTAGAGCCTACACTGGGGGTATTCCTTGGTCTGTTGGCTTGGATTGGCTGACTGGAAAACCAGAGCTGTTCCAGCTTGCACTGAAAGCATTCAGGTAAGAACTAACTCGAAGTATAACACAAGCACACCTGCAAAACTGAGCATTTGTGCTTGAGAGTATACTTGCATCTTTGCAATGTACAATTTTGAATCGGCTTTATTCTTAAGTGAAAGAGCAACCTTATTTAGTGTCCAAATAGTATATACAAATGTGTACTGATACTGAAATTAAATATTTAGCTTGCATTATCAATAACTAGTTCATATGTTTGATCTAATTGAAACAACTATGTAACAACCTTCGAAATGGCTTGAAGTGGCTTTGTATTTTGAATCATGTTCTGCAGTGTATGTGTGTTTGTGTGTCTTTCAGATATACATTTAAACTCATGGTTGACCAAGCAAGCTTGGGTCCAGTAGAGAGCTTCAAAGAGCTGGTTAACTATCTAGAAGAATATGAAAATGACTGGTACATTGGTTTGGTGTCTGATATTGAGTGGCAACAAGCAATTTTAAAAGAAAAGCCGTATCTCTTTTCCTTGGGGCATGATCCTAACATGGTAAGAGGAAAATTTTGCTGATCACCAGAATTAAAGTCTTTTTTCCTCTGCTTATTTGTTAGTCTGCCTGCCTTACAAGATGCGAGAGCTTTGCACTCAAAGAACTAGTTAGTGCTTGACTGACTCCTGTGTGCCTATTCTTTGAAATTGCCAGGCAGCTGTTCAGCAGATGCAGCAGTATTTGCTGACTCTACTGTGATATTCCTGTGTACAAGGACAGAGCAGCTAGGACTTGATGATTCTTGTTAATAAGAAGCCTTTCTGTGTGCAGATATATGCAGCAGTGTAGTCTAGAGTCCTATACCCCTTTCATTTTCCAGTGATCCGTTCCCACTGTTTAGTATATGTGACATTTTGGGATCAAAGCATTGCCAAATTGAAAACCTGACCCTTGCTACTTTTATACAGTCTCCTCCGTTTCCTCTGTTGCCATTGAAAATTTCCAAGGAGTCAGTGTTATGGCTCAGTACTCAGCATGCAAGCTCTGTTTTTCACTTCATACCAGAAATGTCTGTGTTAACGCCGACTAGAACACATACAAAGCATTCCTAAGTATGGTTTTACTTTTTTAAGGGAGTTTACACTGGGAGAGTGCTCACCCTTCAGAAGCTGCTAGTGCAGGTGGGAAAGTTAAACGGTGACGCTGTCCGAGGCCAATGGGCAAACCTTTCCTGGGAGCTGCTGTACGCTACCAACGATGATGAGGAACGCTACAGCATACAAGCGCACCCGGTCCTCCTGAGGAACCTGACCGTGCAGGCGGCTGACCCACCCCTTGGCTATCCCGTCTATTCATCAGAACCTCTGCATGTGCCTTTGTTTTAGACTTTGTGCTGTCTTTTGTACGTTCTAGCTGCATGTGGGGAAACAAAAAGCAATGCTGCATTTTACACTAGAAGTGTGAAGATCCTGCTCTCAAAGTGGCACTGGATGTGTGTGCCGAGCCAATAAGGATTGATTTGCACAGAAACGGTGCTAGCCAGAGGCAAATTCTACAGCAGGCAAGAGCATTCAAACCTGTTTTTCAAAATACCATCTCCTTTGTTGCTGTCAGGGCAAGAAGCCACTGCTTCAAGATGCCCTGATTTCCAGTTCACAGAAGAGACATGATTCTGGCCATACACCAACTCCTTATGGTGCATTCTGATTTTTTTTTTTCTTTTCTTTTTTTACTAGTCTGACAGGTGACTTCCATCAGTAGGCAGGTTACAGCTCATTATAGTACAGCAGACCACAGAGTTGGTCACCAAAGTGTACATACAACTATTTATATGTATTTTTTTATTCTGATCATTTTATATATACAATTGAGTTTAATTTTAGCACTTGTTTAAAATATATGGCTGTAAATATCGTCCTGAATTGTAGTGTGCTACCAGCTGCTGTATAATAAGGGAAGTCTGGAAGAAGTATTTTTACAGAAATGTACACTTATGTGGGCAAGAAAGGTTTTGTAAATTAGCAACCTGAATCTTGCCATTTTACTAAAAACAATCTACAAGGGGTGTTTCAGAAAGTAGCAGCAATATTGCAGTAAAACCCCATTAGTGTGTGGTGATCATTTACTGAGCCACATCACTTCTCTAGTCGTAAGCCATGGGTGCATTCGACAATGCCACCGTCAATGTTCCCTGCTGCTGCATAGTTCCCACTTTGTCACAGGAAGACCGCGTGGGCAGCCATTTTGTTGTTAGTTTCTGAAACACTCTCGTGTGTTAGGGGTCGGCAGCGGTATGGCCTGCAGGCTGGATTGGACCTGGCTCACAAACGTGAGGTTTTGGCAGTGAGCATGCTCCCCGTGCTACCACAGGGACAAACGCCGGCCCACCTGCCTCTGACCTTGGGTGACCATCCTGGCCCGCAGCCAGAAAAGGTTGCCTGTCTCTGGTCTATGTGATCCTACTGATGAGAAGACCACATAAGTAAAAAGGGAAGCCAGTGTTGACTCCAAGAGGATTAGTTTTCTCAGGGTAGCATTTGTGAAAATTGTACTTTTTATAAAATGCATTTGCATCTTGTATTATTCCTTGATGACAACAACAGGGGAAGCTTGAAACCTTTTTAAAAGAACTTTCTCTACTTTTTATTTCAGAGTTACTGCTTTCATTCAACTATTCCTAGGCCCTTCCTGGCATAGATTTGGCAGTCAGTTGCTTCGTAGTAGTACTAGTATCTTTGAAAACACTTTTGGGCCACTTCACATGTCTCAAGTGACTTGTTCAAATTATCTATATAGTGGTCTGCATTAGATAAAACTGAAATACCCCTGCTGCCTGCCATTTGCCAGTAGTCACTCGGTAAGTCACCCCCCGCCCCCCTTCAACTTTAGCTAACAGCTCCACCATAATTGCTTTTATTCACCAAGATGTAAGTAATTGCCTTTTTTCTCTAAAGTGAATTTAAATCAGATCAGTTTCATGAGGAAATTATTTGTACTTCAGTGTCTTTAGTCTTAATATTACACAACACTGATCATTCGCTGTGCATCGCTGACCTTTAAGTCTTTTTTCGTATCAGAAAAGTCTGAATAGAGGCCAGCCTGCTGCTGAGTTTGCTGATGCAAGAAGAGGCATACCTTTCAGTTAATCCCTTTAGGCAATCATGTAGTTATATTAGCAGATTATGCAACCCATGTGCTTGTTAAACAGAGTTTAAAGGGTACAAATATTTATGAGAGATCTTGGAGGTATTAAGGAGGTTCCTGTTGTAAACCCATGATGTGATCTTCTACCATTCACAGTCAGCCCTACACATAGAACATTAAATCTGCTTCAGACTCTGATTTCTTATTCAACTTTCAGAAAAGTAACTTTTTTAAAAGAGAAATTTTGAGTTACTTCAAATGGGTGAAGCCCATGTCTTGCTCACCTGTGGGATGGCGGGTGGATTATACAATGTGATGTTCAGGACATAGAAATGGTCATCAGAAGCTTTCTAGCTAGGTAAAGGAAATCGTCTTCAACCGCAGGAAAAAAGTTGTTTAAAAAAGGTTGGATGTGTTCAGTTCTTCTCCTGCAGCATTTTGGGGACAAAACAGTGATTTTCATTCTTCCCATGGGGCAAACTGAGTTTCAGAGTGTTGCTTGGACTGCCTCCACCCCACTTACGCTTGCATATTGCTGCGTTGGGGAAGGGGTAGCAGCTTCTGATGTGGTCTAGAAGGATTTAGGGACGTGGGTTTCTTACGACCTGGTGGAATGTGCTTTGTCCTCTTAGGGAATAATTTACTAATTTTGCCTCTCTGTTCCTCCTCATTTTGTACCCTGAAATGTTTGCCCTTTCCTCTCTCCCCCTTGGTCTCTTTGATATCTGCTCCTCTCTGTGCTTAGTTGCCTCTTCTCGCTAAAGGAAACAACACAAGTTTCTGCAATGACTGTCTTCTGAGAGAGGTCCTACTTCTAAAGCTGCTAAGCTAGTTTCTCCTTTGCCATAAGTGAATGTATAACTTGATACTTTTTTTGTTCTGAAAAACATTTGTAGACATCTGGAAACAAATTGGAAAGCTAGCCTTACAACCTGCCAGCTCTCACCACCCACCAGCAAGTGCTCCAGACAATAGAAGCCACCAGTATTATGTGAAAATCGTCTGCATATGTGCAGCATACAGCTAATTGTATTCAATCGTGTGTTGACCACAGTTCATCTCCAGGGGTTTTAGCACAAATTATAATAGCATTACAGACTTCATGCTAATAACAGGCAAATTGTCTGAGGTGAAAAAAGCAGAGAAGTTGAGGCTGGAAAAGTGACTGATATTTTGAAAACGGTTATGATGATTACTTTGTTGTAAGTATTACCCATTCGAACAGTGATTCTCAGTCTGCCACCGTACCTCAGGGTGTATTGGCTTTTGCAAGGGGGCTGCAGGGTGCTGTGCAGTGTTAACACTGTTAGGTGTGCAAACACGAGTGCAGCATAAACCCAGAGATTTCAGCTAGGAGTCCCACTAGACCAGCTGTGGTCTTTATGAATTCTTTGCAACAGAAGAATTGCTCTAGTGTTTTTTTTCTACACGCACAAAACTGAAAACTAACGGCTGGCACTTTCCAAATGGTGCCTGGAGTCTAGAAGCACCGCATTAGAGCTTAAACGCCTTTCCTTTGAAGATGGTACGTTAATATTATATACTGGTAAGTGTTGTGGCATTGGCAGGCTCTGGAGTATAGAGAGTTTTACATCAGCGAACCAAGTTAAACCATCCATTCTTTGAGAACAGCATCAACCACAGAAACGCTCCACATTGGTTATTTCCCTGCACAGTAATTTGTAGTGGTAGAAAGCCACGAGTCTAGCACTCTCAATCAGATAAATGGGGACTCTGGGGGTGGAGGTTCAGGTGAAAGTGCTCAGTAGGGCGGTGCGAAACAGCACCGTTCCGCTTTGGCTTCCATTTTGATGTTTCAACAGAACAGTGTTTCGTTCCGTTTTGTTTTGTCGAAAGTTTCACCCATAGGCCATTCTACACCCAGCGTCAGGAAGATTGGTGCTGCCGCTGGCCCTAGCAGGCAGCACCAACCTCCTGTGACCTGGCAGGCAGATCAGGGGGTTAACCCCTGGGAGAAGTCCAGCGCAGCCCTCCCAGGGGATCACGGGAGACCGATGCTGCCAGCTGGGATGGGTAGCAGCATCAGTCTTCCTGGTGTTGGGTATGGGCTGTGCCCGCTGCTGGCCCAGGCAGCAGGAGCAGCCTCCAGTGATCCAGCAGGCAGAGCAAGGGCCCCCTGCACTCCCAGGAGGGCTGGAGGGCTCTGCTGGCTCCTGGAGGTGCGGGGGGTCCCGATCTGCCTGCTGGATCACAGGAGACTGCTCCTGCCACCTGGGACAGCGACGGGCACAGCCTGCACCCAGCACCAGGAAGATTGGTGCTGCTGCTGGCCCCAGGCGGCAGCAGCAGCCTCCTGTCACCTGGCAGGCAGATCAGGGCCTGCCTGCACCCCTGTGGGGGCTGTGCCGGACTGCTCCAGGGAGTGTGGCCCCCCCCATCTGCGTGCCGGATCACAGGAGGCTGGAGCGGGGGAGCGGCAAACCAGGGCAACTGCCCTGGGCCCCGTGCTCTGTAGGGCCTGGCAGAGCCCAGCAGTGTGGCTGCGGTGACTGCGCCACCACTGCCACCAATGGCAGCAGCAGCAGCTGCTTCATATGCAGGGCGTGTAGGATTGGGGCTGGGGCTGGTCCCTGCACCAGAGCCAACCTGAGGAGGGGTGTGGACCTCCCATCTGCCTGCTGGATGACAGGAGGCTGGTGCTGCCGGCTGGGGCCAGCAGCAGCACCAGTGTTCCCAGTGTGGGCTGCGCCCAGTGCTGGTCCCAGGAGGCAGCACCAGTCTTCTGTGACCCTTCAGGCAGATCAGGGGCCCGCACCGTCGGGAGCAGTCTGGCACAGCCCCCGCAGCTGTCCCAGGGGTGTGGGCCAGCCCCGAGTCTGCCTGCTCGATGTCAGGAGGCTGGTGCTGCCGCTTGGGACCAGTGCTGAAGCCAAGTAAGCCTGGCTTCGAAACTTTAAACTTTCAAAACGTTTTCAGTGCCCTTCTTTTGTTTCAAAGGCTTTTGTTTTGTTTCAATTTCACTGTTTTGAGCTCAAAATTCATTGAAACAGCTTCAAAATGAAACACTGGGCAAATTTTGCACAGCCCTAGTGCTTAGGACTGTGGTTCAGTCACTACTTTGGCAGGTGCTGTTCCCCTTCCTAGCAGTGTCATAGCACTAAGGAGGGAGGATGGCCCTGTGAGGGATAGATTGCTAACTGGGACACCTTGGCTTTAACCCTGGTTCTGCATAGGTGCCCTGAGACCTGCTTTTCCAGGCACACAGCCCAGCTACTTGTATATTGGATGCTTCCGGCGCTCACCCTGCAGACTTCCATGGACATTCATCTCTGATTTCAGGGGAACTTTTTGCAGTGCAGATACTTTGAGCATCTAATTCCCTTGAAATCAAAGTTGAGCTATTTTATGTTACAGGAGTGTAGTTGTGGTGCTCATGCTAGAGATGGGAGATTGCTGCCCCAGTGCTCCAAGTGTTTATAATAACATTTCCCTTACATCTTGTGAAGGGAAACAGCTTCAGCAGTAGAGTTTAAGTCACACATCTTCCTCCAGATTTGGTTGCAAGCTAGTGGTTAGTGAAAGGGCCTGGAAGCTGGGAAACGGGTTGGAGTTCCCACAAAGGGAAATGAACCCAGATGTCCCAGCTCAGTAATGGGAGCACTGGTCCAGGATCTGTTCACTAAGAGGAGAATGGCAGCAGGCCCATCTCCTGCTACCCAAGAAAGGGCTTAAACAGGGCTGTGGGCTCTGCTGTGGGAGCAGAGCCCTAGAAGTTAGATACCACAATGCCATCTTGTGACACACCCGTCCCCTTGTGGACTTAAAATGCACCCACAAAGACCAGCCTCTCCACAGCAGCTTCAGTGACACTTGTGGAGGTGAGACTAGCCCAGAAAGAGGAACAGTGCCCACAACCAGCACAGACCTTTCCCTTCTCTCCTGAGCAGATCAGCCCATGTGAAGCCATCGTACATCACCAGGGACTTGAAACTTTACACACCATGAACCTTACACCATGGTGTAAGGACGCTAAGTGGCTGTGGTCCCTAGATTGAGGTTGCTCTTGTAGTATGGAAGATGTCATATAATACTGTGCTGGTCTGTGGGCTGAATCTTGTGTCCTAGGTTGGCTTGTGGCCCTGCTCTGGTAATTCATGCCATGGGTCCCCCACTGCCAAATTTCCAGTTGTGGGGAGCCCCACAGGCCGGATGACATAGCTCTATGGGCTGCACTTGGTCCACAGGGGCTGTCTCTTGGTCACCCCTGAGCAAAACAGGAATTCATGACAGCCAGGAAATATAACAGGCCTCCTGCCCTTCTGTTACTGCTGTTGTAAGCCCGTGGAAGGATGTGTAGAAGGCTTTAGCAAAAAGTGTTTAGAAACATGTTTTTATTTAAGTACATGTGCTTAGAGTTGTATTTATTACTTTTGTCAAGGTACATGACAAAAGTGCTATGGATTAAAAAAGCAAGGCCGCCGCTTGAAGTGTTACAAGAAGAGAAGAGATGCCCTCAGCCCCAGCTCCAAGTAGACGTTGAGCAGGTCCTTCTTCAAGCTGCCACCTTTTGATAATAAGAGGCATCAGCGTCCTGCAATGAGAAAATAGCATTTCCATTTAGATATTTTCCACTTCCTGATTTTTTCTGTGCTTTGGAAGACTTTTGCCCAAAAGACTCGTGTTTCACTTGAAACGGCCTGTGATCAGACCACTCCTGTGCACATGGGCAGGAAGGGTGGTATGAAGGTTGCAAAGACTGCCTCAAACTTTCCCTTGTGACTCTGGAGTGCCTATGTCCTGTTCTCTTAACAGGTTCCTGTCCCTAGGACAGTGTCACTGTAGATTAAATCTGAGAGAAGCACAACACTTGCCAAGCAATGTTAGCAAAATAAAAGGCTTCACTGCATACACTGCATCCCCTGGGGGGAAGATGGCAGTATATAGAGGACCTGAAAAGTGTGGGTAGTATTGCTCAATGGGCTCCTGGAACACCTTCAGGAGCTATTGTGAGAGTTAGTAGGCACAGAAACTACGGCTAGCGTTCATGCGCAGCAAGTGTGCACCAAGGCAGGCTGGCCGGGCTGGCTTACCACTCCGCTCTTGAAGTTCTGTATTCTTTTCTTGCCTATCCTGCCCAACAGCCACCATGCCCAGGTGGGTGCATATTGCCAGAGGTAGCAGACTGCCAGGTATGGGTTGTCGCTGATCCAGGCTTCTTTCAGGTCATTGACGATGCTGACCAAGGTGAGCCGAACGCAGCGGGCAGTTGACATCTTGTGGGATTGATCACCTGGCTTTTCTAGGGACTAGGAAGAAAAGGAGGTGAGGAGTTAGGATGAATTTTTACCTGGAGAAAAACATTACTGCCGCTGGCGAGTTTCCAATGTGCATGAAAGCAACCCAGTAAGAACAGGGATTAGACAGTATTTCCTTGCTCCCTTGTTTGTCTCGCATCCCCAAGTGGCAGTTCTACCTTGTTCATCTGCACGAATCACAGCTTATTGCATCTTTTTCTGAGCATAATAAAATACCAATACACAGAGCCCGGTGCTTTGCTCTGCAACTGTAGGGGCAGCAAACTAAAACTCTTTTGGAGGAGCTTTAGTTTGCTGCACCCCAAGTTATGTGAGGCGCATTATGCCATGGAATTTCCTACAGTGGCTGGAATTAATGCACGATATGCTGCTAAGGCGTGCAAACACCAGCACCATTAAAGCGGTGCAAAAGCATTTAGCCTGCTTTAAAGTGTCGTGCACACACACCCTAGTGCATCTCCTGGAAAGTGGAATGTGCAGTGGACAATCCTTTGTTTTTTTGTGTACTTGCTTTCTGGGATTTTGGTCAAGTGATGCTTGCCACGTAACCTGGGCCCTAGTCCTGGGGCAGCTCCAGCCGAAATGCCATGTGTCTGTGTAAGAAGTTGTATTTTTCCTCCAAAGCCTGCCGTGACTCAAGCTGCTCCCTAAAGGCTACTTCATCCCTGCGACCACTGCACCTAACATAGCTCTAGTGCAGTAGACTTGAGCACAGGTCAGCAATATACATCCTGTGGGCCAGATCCAGCCAACAGCACCACTATATCCAGTCCACCGAGCCAGACTACACACCCATGCCAAGGCGAGCTGCATGAGCGCTGGACAGCTTCCAGCTGTGTCCTTACTGCCACTGCTTCTCCCCCTGCCCCCAGTGCTAGATGCTGTAGTGCATGGCTGGGATGGACAGGTTTGAGTGCGTTTCATCACAACAATTTCATTTGTTTTCCAAAGAGAAACTCCACAACAGACCTCAACTTCAGAACAAAAGCACTGCCTAACATGTCGGAGTCCCAAATCTGACCTGCTTAACCACGGTTCATAACCTGTAAACCCAACACCCTCTTCCAGATCCGAAGCGCATTCATTTAAGTCTGCTAACCCCAAAGCTGTGTGTGTCTGAGGCAGGATACCCAACACCAGGTTTTGCTTAAGTGGAGGCTCCTGAGACTGCTCTTCGAATGCCTGGAGTGAAAAGCATCACGGGGCAGGCCACTTCTGGGCAGATCCCACCCCCAGCAGTGAGATCTTTTGCCATCAAGGAGCCAGGTTTTCAAGTGAAGTGAAAATACCAGTCAGTAGAGTTTTGCTCTTTACAGGGTTTCAATTATGCCAAGAGCTTTAAAAACAAGGCTGTTTTATTTCTTATGAAAATACAAAGGGGAGAGAACCTGCCCAGCATGGACTCAGCCTAGGTGTTCTAGCTACCGGGCAGTCAGTGGACACACTCACAACATGTTCAACCCCCACTGCTGGTTTTTGCTAGAAGTTTTTACTATGAGCACTTTTGAAATGAAAGGAGGCTTTCTCCCTCTCCATTGGCCTCCAACAGGAAATAAGATGCCCGTCTTGGCTCTGTTGACTCTAGCAGCGATGCCAACAATTGCACCACAGTCAACTGCACAGGGAACATCTGTGAGTGGAACAAACAGCTGCCTACGTATTCAGTGTTGCAAAACTGTGAGGGAGAACTCCATGCCCTTCCCCCACAGCTGCAAAGGGCAGCTGGGCAGAAGAACGGGTCCTTCTCCCATACAAAGTGAACAGTGTGGAGAGGCTTGACAGTACATATATCCCACCCTGTCCAAAAGGTTCATGGTGCCAGATCCCAAGCAGCCCCTCTGCAGCGCGGTGCACACCAGCCAATGCAGCTGAGGCACTTCAACACCTTTCCAGATGCAGGGGGAGGCAAGGCGCAGAGCTCTCAAGTACTGAGCTCAGGAAGGGCACAGGCTCCTAAAAGTTAGGCGGCCAGTCTCTCAGTTCACCCTCTAGCTGGCTGTGCTAATTACACAGATTTTGCAGCCAGAAGTTACAAGTTTGCTGGCACAGAGGGGCTGGCAGGTTCTGAACCAGAAGCATCGATTCAGGATTCCCTGGGTCTGAGGCTCAGCATTTCCTGTAGCCCGGTCTCAGGGGACCCACGGCTGCGCCTTACCTTTGTGAGCTCTTCAGTAAAGACGTTATCTATGATCTTTGACTGGACAGGGCCCGGGCAGATGTTGGTGACGACGATTCCCGGGTACTCCCAAAGCTCCGGCCGAAGAGAGTTAAAGAAACCCTAGAAGAAAGGAAGTGAAAACCTTGTTATTTTCCTGTGCCTTGTCTTCCCCAGCTACAGAGTGAAGATAACACTTATGCAGCTTCCTAGAGTGAACTGATTAAACCCAAGAGGCGTCACCGATGAAGCTTGGAGCTCTAGCCGTGTGCTGTGCAAGCTCCAGCTATTACATTAAGTGCAATTACCACCGCTTTTCTTCATCTTTCACGTTTAGCAACCGACCAAAAGGCTTTTCTGGGTCCAAATATGTTTAGATAGGATGAGATTAGCTGAAATCATTGATGCTTCTTCCCTTCCACTGTCAGCTGCACAATGCCCTTCCCTGCACCCAGGGCCCTTTGTCTGCCCATCTCCCATGGACTGAGCGCCCCGGGGGGGCTAATTTGAGCGGCATCAAGTGTCTGTAACTCCATCTGGAGTCCACAGCAGTCACTGGTGCTCACAGCTTAGTGAATCATGTCAAGAGAAAACGGAAAAAGGACTGCAATAGCAGCATGGGAAGAAGCAGGCCATGTCATTAAAACACCTACCCCCTTCCTCAGCTCCCTCTAGGCACAACAGAGTAGCAAGAGCAGGTACGAGGCTTTGAAGTAAGGGGTAGCCAGCTTGTATGACGGAGAGCGCAAGTCTCCCAGGACGGATTTGCACAAGATGCTAGACGTGCAGTCACGTGGGCAGTCCTGCCCTGGCTCCGTGTGGAGCTGAACTGGGCTGGAACCGAAACACAGCAGCAAAGCAAGAGTCAAGAGAAGCTCGAACTGCAAAGACGACACGTGCTGCTTGTCCCCAAGCGCTCGCACTAGACTCCTGTCTTCTGGCGCAGGGCCTGCCTGGTGAACGCGTGGGGGGAGCTGCAGTCCAGAGCGCTGTGCGGCCTGGAGGCTGCTGGTTGGGAATCCGTGAACGGGCGGTTGTATCCAGAGGTGACCAAACCACAGCTGACGAGTCCCACGTGGCTCCAGTGCAATTTAAACACACAGGAGTTTAACAAACACTTCCTCTTTTCATTGACTGGCCTCTGTTTTATCAATTCGCCAGCCCTTGGTTATGATCTCTTTTAAGAAGTCATTTAAGCAGAAGCTATTGTTTAGGCTGGGGCACTGTGCACCTCTGGGGCAGGCACATCTTGAAAGAGTTGTGTCCTGCAGTCCTCAGCCCTGTCTAGACTAGGGCTGGAAGGCTCAGGGAGGCTGAACTAGACCCTGGTGACCAGAGCATTCGGGGGTGCCAGGGACTGCTAGCCCCCATGCAACTCTGGTGCAGCACAGAGCAAGCAGCCCCTGCCACCCCCCACCATCCTGCAGGCTCACTCTTTGGTTACTGCTTCTAGAGAGACTTTGGGCCTCAACCCCATAATTTATCCAAAGGACAAAGAGTTGGACCAGTTACTTCACTGCAACACGGCTGCTTAACCACACGTATCATGAGAGGTCCGCTCTGCACGGGGTTGGACGTTTGGACGTTGATTAGATTTAAACAAGTATCTTTTTTCTTCTGTACCTTGCTTAGGTTCTCCTGTTTGAAATGCTGCTCTCCCCACATGTGGTGATGGGGAAAAGGCAAGTTCTGACTTGCACCTGCCAGGTAAATATTCAAAGCCATGCTGGTGTGCTTGCAAGCCAGAAGCCTGGCAGCGAGAGCTGGTGTCTGTGCCAGCTCACATCAGGACTGCTACGTTACAACCATGAGGCTTGGTTCTGGCAGATGCATCTTGAACCACACAGACAGGAACCATTGGGAAGTGTCGAATGCAGCTAGTTTGCTGAGGCGTAGCCAAGGGTGGATCTGCCCTGCAAGACCTTTATAATTGGTGGCAGCGCCTGGCTTGGCCCTCCAGCAGCCCTGCTCCTAGAACAGCCACCCTGGGATGTTCCACGAAGGCGCTTCTCAGTAAGCCTGCGCGAAGCGGCTGGCATTCGCTTCGGATTTGGCCGATTCGATTCGCTGATTTGAATCACTGCCCCGAACTGATTTGGAGTTTCAGCTGCTACCGAATTTGCAAATCAGCCAGGCCCATCATTCCCCTCCCCCAGTCCCGCAATGACTGCCCACCCACCCCAGCTCCCGGTATTTGGGGGAAAAAAAGCCCCAACTCACTGGGTGCTGCAGGCCGAGGGGGCGATCCCTGCTGCCCCCCCACTGCCCCCATGCTGCACAAGCCCCACCCCTGCTGGCCCAGCCCCGCCCCCATGGCTGCCTCGCCCACCCCAGCTCCAACCCTTTAAGGAAAAAAAAACCTGAGAAAACCCCCAGACTCATCATTCCTGCCCGGCGGGGGGCAATCCCCACTGCCCCATGGGGGGCTCTTCCACAAGCCCCCTGAAGCCCTGAGCCCGCTGCAGGAGCGGCAAGTCCCAGGGTTTTTTTCCCCTTAAAGGGCTGGAGCTAGGGCAGACTGGGCAGCCATAGGGGGCTGGGGGAGCAGGTGGGGGATGGGGCCTGGCAGGGGTCCCCCCATGGCCCCCAACTCCCGGCCCTACTTACCAGCTCCTAGTCCGGCTCCAGCTCTGTGCTGCAGCAACTGGGGACTGCCCGAATCATCGAAGCTTTCCGAATCTTTTCCAAAGAGTCAGAGAGCTTCGAATCGATTTAGCCCTTTTAATTGGTCCCCCGATTCAATTCGGATTCAGCCACCGAATTGGGCTGAATCTCCTCTGAATTAAATCACCACCCGAAGCTTCACACAGCCCTACTTCTCACAGTTTGGAGGTGCTGTCAGCACAAAGGGACTTAGACGCCTCCATCCAACATGCAGACCCTCACAGCCTGCTACCTAATTCGGGAGGTTTCCAGCATTCAAGTTCCCTACATGCCGAAGCGTCTGCTCTAGGCGTGCGCTACACGCTGCTCTTGCACGCCCGAGCCCCACAGACATGGTTCTCCCCCTGCCCGGCTCTCCTCCGTGGTGCTCTCGCTGTCAGGCATTCTCAGATCATCCCATCCGCGTGCAGAACAGGGAAGGCGGTGGGAATGGCTGGTGGCAAACACTCACCAAGCGCATGCAAGGCCCAGGTTCAGTTCCTTTCCTCTGTCCAATAGGCCCTAAGCCCATGTTGCCACCTCCACAGTGCAGGCCTCACCCACCAGGTCCTTGGGTGTCTTTTGGTGGAAGGGTGCTCAGTCCCGCCTGTTACAGCCTTGGTGGGACATAATGAAATGGGCAGTAGGGGGGTGTACACATGCACAGGGGTAAAGGGGACCACCCAGCCTTGCAGTAGGTCATTCACCTGGGAGAAGGGAGACCTGGGTTGTGGCCCCTGCTCCAATGGATAAACCCAGGTCTCTCCAGCCCAGTGACCAAGCAGTCCTTGAAGTGACGGGTTCTGGGGCGAGCCGGTGAGAGCACCCTCTCTCCTGAAGTAACTTGTAGCATGGTGGTGAAGGCGGTCCTGGGCACATGCGAGTGCTCATCCCCACAGGCAGAGGAGGGACCAGGTTGCATCTCCTAGGACCTGGATGAGCCAAGGGCTCAAACTGTGGTTATGAATCGGCACCTGAGGAAGGTCCTCCTCCAGAATTCAAGACATACCCTTGTTCTTGGCAATTCCCGTTGGCTAACTGATGCAGCTGTCTGCTTGGTGCTGGCTTCTGTGCGCCCTCTTCCTAGGCACCTACCCTGCCCCACGCATTGCACAGGGGTCCTGGGGATTTAACTCAGGGCTGCGGGTGCTACCAGGTCCCTCAGAAGCAGGATGATGAGCTGAACAGCGAGCCCCAGCCTCCTTTGTGAGCCCAGCCCTTAGCATCTAGGCCACACGACAGCCGAGGCTGGCCAGACCCCAGGGTCAGGGCTGTAAAGGAGTGTCTGGAAACTGGTTTGGGCAGTGTTGCTTTCTTCAAAGATACAGAGCTTTTTCACCAGAGGGCTGCAGCTTTCACAGACGCCATAGGCCAAGCTCATAGCACAGATCAAGGCTCCCAGGATTCCCGCCCACTCTGTGAGCCACCCCCATCCATTTTGGGGAGTCCCTGAAAGGTCCACCACCCCTTCTGCCTGGGAATCTGTGCATCACCCACTCCCTCAGCTCCCATGCCCAGGTCCCTCTTTCTGCCCCCTGCTTTTGTTAGGCCACCAGCAACCTAAACTCTCTGTTGGGCACACGAGCAGAGCTAAGATGAATACTGCAATGCCTGAAGATAACAACAGATTGAATACCACGCGCTTCACGAGACTGCCTCAGCTCTGACGAAGGCTTTCCTGCGGTATGGCCGGGGACCCCAGGACATCCAGGAACCATAGGTCCTGGGAGCACACAAGACCCGCAAAACCTCAGCTCTTGGACTTCAGGACAGCTCAGGAGAGCCAGAAATACTGGAATGGCCTTCCAGGCAGGGGCTTGTAGGGCTCCCCAACTCCCAGGGCAGAGGCGGCCAGCCTGGGTGCCAGCATGCCCGCACAGCCCTGGCAGCCAGCAGTGGTGAACCCGGCAAGGACGCCAGCATCTGTCAGCAGGTGCCAAGTTCTGAGGGGAGCACATTTACTTCTAGAAACACCGCGCGTCTGCTCCAGAAATGAAAGATTCAAAGTTTGCAGCTCAGGGGAAGCTCAGATAACTTGCTTTTGTCTACTGAAGTCAGAGGCTTTAAAAGTTGCTGATCATATAAAGAGTGTGTGAACACTTTATTGCTCAGTCTTCACGGCAGGTCCACGTACCAGGTGCACAGAATCCCCATTCACCAGCACACTGAAGGTCATGCTCCTCTCCTCCCCATCCCACGAGACTCCATGTGCTATTAATTATATGAATTGGTAGCTGGTAATTCATAATTATATGAATTAGAGAATCACACACTCAAGTCCATTATTCCCAATTCTTCACTGAAATGCTGCATGCTGCCAAGTGAACAAGTAGCAGTAAATAAAGGACTATTGCATGTACTTCGTAGACTCAGAAGCCACAGCTATTCAAGAGCTAAAGTAAGAACTGAGGCTTTGTCACCACCCTGGCAAGCCTTCTATATACAGAGCTTTACAATCTACACTAGTATAGGACCTCCTC